CCAGACTGTATCAGACCAGAATGCAGCAGACTGGACTTTAGCAGAATGGACTGTAGTGGACTGGACTGTAGGAGACTTGACTGTAATGGACTAGACTATAGTGGAATGGACTGTAGCGGGCCCGGACTGACTGTAGCGGACTGGACTGTAGCGGAAGACTGGACTGTAGCAGGACTAGACTATAGGCTGTAGCAGACTGGACTGTAGCAGAGTGGACTATAACCGACTGACTGTAGCAGACTGGACTGTAGTGAACCGGACTGTAGCAGACTGGATTGTAGCAGACCAGAATGTTGCAAACTGGACTGTAGCAGAATGGAATGTAGGAGACTGAACTGTAATGGACTGGATTGTAGCGGACCACACTGTAGAAGACCAGACTGCAGCAGACCAGACTGTAGTAGACTGGACAGTAGTGGACCAGACTGTAATGGACCGGACAGTAGCAGACTGGACTGTTTCAGACTGGTCTGTAGCAGACTGGACTGTAATGGACCAGACTGTAGCAGACTGGTCTGTGGCAGACTGGACTGTAGTGGACTGGACTGTAGTAGACTGGACTGTAATGGAAGAGACTGTAGCAGACTGGACTGTAGCAGACTGGACTGTAGTAGACTGGACTGTAATGGAAGAGACTGTAGCAGACTGGACTGTAGTGGACTGGACTGTAGTAGACTGGACTGTAATGGAAGAGACTGTAGCAGACTGGACTGTAGTGGACTGGACTGTAGTAGACTGGACTGTAATGGAAGAGACTGTAGCAGACTGGACTGTAGTGGACTGTGTAGTAGACTGGACTGTAATGGAAGAGACTGTAGCACACTGGTCTGTGGCAGATTGGACTGTAGTGGACTGGACTGTTGCAGACTGGTCTGTGACAGACTGGACTGTAGCAAACCAGACTGTAGCAGGCTGGACTGTAGTGGACGAACTGTAGTAGACTGGACTGTAATGAAAGAGACTGTAGCACACTGGTCTGTGGCAGACTGGACTGTAGTGGACCAGACTGTAGCGGACTGGACTGTAGCATACCGGGCTGTAGTAAATTGAACTGTAGTGGACTGAATTAAAGTAGACTGAACAGTGGTGAACTATAGCAGACCTAACTAGTAGCTGACTGAACTGTAACAGACTGGACACTAATGGAATGGACGGTAGCAGGCTAGACTGTAGCAGACTGGGCAATAGTGGACTGGACTGTATTAGATTAGATTGAGGCAGACAATACTATAGTGGACCAGACTGTAGCAGACTGCCTGGTGGCAGATTGGAGCTCGGATAGCATAGCACATTCATGAAACACTGCAAGAACACAATGCTTGGGCATTGACAGCGTGCCCTTATTTGCGCTTAGATTTTCCAGTCCCCTGATGCTAAATGTGAGGTATCACATGGTACAGCCCTATACTTTTATTTTAGAAATAAGCAGTGCCTGAATTTGTCTTCAGCCTCTTCCAATCCTCTTTAAAACATATCTTACACTTAGATAGGGGGAAATAGAACAAGGAACCAACCAGTCATTCTGCGGTGCTTATGTGCTAACAAGGAACATGCTGATAGGAGGAGAGAGCACAGTGACAGAGAAATAAGTTCATCATTCTGCTGCTTCTCCATTCAATGTCTAGTCACAGGCTGGGTGAAGGACAAGACCTGTAATGCAGGCCATAGATGGGTCGAAAATCGGTCAATTTTTCGTCCGAAAAAAAAAAATCGGCTGATTTTTGCACCGTCAGTGTGTTAATTGGTTGGCCGTTTTTCTGGATTTTGGTACATTTTTTTTATCGGTACAGTTGGAAAAAAAGTGGCCGATTTTGCCAATCGGCTGATTTTTGCGGCAACGATGGGCAAATCGGCCAATCTTTTTACCAATAAAAAATCTGCGCATGAGCCGTGACCTGCAAGAAGAAGAAGAAGAAGAAAAAGAAGAGGAAGAAAAAGAAGAAGAAAGAAGAAAAAGTAGAAGAATAAGAAGAAAAAGAAGAAGAAGGAGAAGAAGTATTCCAGTCCGCTATTATATTTGACATGACAAAGTCTTGCGGTTGCAATACTGTTTGTATCCGAATAAAAACATCTGTATCCGAAATGTATACAAATAGATACAATGTTGCAACCGCTATACTTTTTAATGTCAAATATAATGCGGAGCTCTCTGCAGGGACAGAAGTAATTAAATGCCGGCCGTAGACGGGACGAAAATCGGACCATTTCTTTTTACCATTGGTGGTAACGTCGGTCTATTGAACGACCAATTTTTCATTTTTTTTTTTTAAAACGGCCTTTTTTTGACCTGTCTATGGCCTGCATAAGTGTTACTAAAATGAGGTCTCCTGTTCTGCCAGAGCTGTGCTGTGTGGCAGAGCTGTGGAAATCTCAAAACTGGATGGACAGAAAAATAAATCCTTTGGGCAGATTTCAGCTTTAACTATTATAAAAGCAAAAATGCATGGTTTAATAACAGAACACATATTTTACATGTTATGAATTCCTGCAACTTTCTTCACTGGCTTTGACTGGTTTCTTTGATGAGTGGTGGGGGTATTATCACACGCTGCAGCAGGTGTTATGAGGCTTAGTCAATGTTGGTTGTCAGCACCCTGAACCTTGTCCAGATACAGCAGCTGTAATCAGGCCTCATATGCTATAAAAAATACGAAGCTCTGAACTCTCACATTTTGGACCACACTCGGTCCTCTGTCACAGGGATGCCTAGGAATCCAGTGGTATTAACCTGTTAGTGTAATGTGATTCCTGAATCAGGCTATTGTGTTTTTTCAGATGAGGTTTACTGTGCGGATAATTCTATGTTACACACTTGGTTTTCCATGCTGAGGATATATGGGGTCATGTACCAACATGAGATGGCTGAGACTATTGCTCAGTTCTCTGCTGCACTTAGCTAGCCTTTGTATTATAGATGTTGTAGATTGTAAACCTCTATGGAGAGTCCTCCTTCTCATGTGTCACATCTTTACTTTACTTGTTTTTGTGTGAATCTCTAACTTACATCCTCTACATACATATATACTTGTTATTTCTTTTTACAGTCCTGCTGAACATGTTGGCACTTAAAGTGTTACTAAACACCCAACAGTAAAATCGGTCTGTATATGCAGTAAAGCATGCTTGTTATACTCACTGTGGAACCTAAGGGGTTAATCCTCCGCATTTTGTAAAAAGGCTGTTTGATCCTGACTTCTCTGCCCCTCCTCTTGTTGAAATGACCACCTGATACAGACTGACCCTGTGGTCACATGTACATGCTCAGTTTGGTGTGTATTGCTAGAGAGGTTTTTTTTTTTTTCTTTGGAGAGTGCAAGTGATCAGCACAGGGCCAATCAGCACTGTCCAGACAGAGGGTCAGAGGTTTCACATCCTCCTAGAGCAGAAATAAAACTCCTCCTATAAGCTTTAACCAGTGCTCTGCTGAAGTCACAAGATTGCTCTAACTGCTGATAAGAAAATGTATTTAGCAGTTTATATTTACTAAAATAATTGCATTTCCATGTTCTGTGTACTGTGGGAGACCAGATATAGTAAATGCAGGGTCTTGGGTTTAGTAACACTTTAATAAATAAAGAATAATCATTGAGTACAAGAAAAACTACACTAGGACTCCACTGGATGTCAAAAAACATAGCAGCTAGCACGATACCATAATACATAGTATAATAAACATCACAAAACAATAGTACAGCGCTAAATTCAATTAAAATGTATGTGCAATACAATAGTGCAATCAAATATATCAAACTCTTATGTGTCACCAAAAAATGAAAAAAATAAAGGAATCCAAATGTGAAGCAAAAAAACTGTGAATTCAGTGGTTCTTCGAATATTCAGATGTGAATGTCAAACGCCACCAAAATGTAATGATGAACTACACAGCACCTCAGTGTACAACAAAGGGAAGCTTACCAGGATCATATGACCCCAATTAACCACTTCCCAACCGCGCTATAGCCGAAAGACGGCTACAGCGCGGTTGTCTAGTTCTGGGAGGACGTCCATGGACGTCCTCCCAGAACACACCCCATGCACACCCCAGCGGCGCACATCCAGCGCCACCGGTGATTGCTGTGTCCTATGGACACAGCTTATCACGTGATACAGTAAAAGGCCAATCACAGCGGTCTTTTACCACGTGATCAGCTGTATCCAATGACACAGCAGATCACCAGGTAAATACATTTGCCGGTTATTGGTTGCCCTTTCCTCGCGCAGTCACAGCATGAGGAAAGTACTGCCGAGGACCGGCAATTGTCAGCGAAGGGATCGGCACTGATGATCAGTGCCCAGCAGTGCTGCCCACCTGTGCCACTCACCTGTGCCCATCAGTGCTGCCCACCGGTACCCATCAGTGCCACCCACATGTGCCCATCAGTGCCACCCACCTGTGCCCAGCAGTGCTACCCGCCTGTGCCTAGCAGTGCCATCCACCTATGCCCAGCAGTGCCCCCATCAGTGCCACCCATCAGTGCCACCCTTCAGTGCCCAGCAGTGTCGTCAGTCAGTGCCCAGTAGTGCCATCAGTCAGTGCCACCCATCAATGCCCATAACTGCTGCCCATCAGTGCTGCCTATCAGTGCAGCATCATCAGGGCCACCTATGAATGCCACCTATCATTGCCTCCTATCAGTTCCCATCAGTGCTGCCTATCCGTGCCACCTCATCAGTGCCCATCAGTGCTACCTATCCGTGCCACCTCATCAGTGCCCATCAGTGCTGCCTATCCGTGCCACCTCATCAGTGCCCATCAGTGCCGCCTATTAATGCCACCTATCAGTGCCTCCTATCAGTTCCCATCAGTGCTTCCTATCCGTGCCACCTCATCAGTGCCCATCAGTGCTGCCTATCCATGCCACCTCATCAGTGCCCATCAGTGCTGTCTATCCGTGCCACCTCATCAGTTCCCTCAGTACTGCCTATCAGTGCAGCCTCACCAACGCACATCAGTGAAGGAGAAAAATTACCGTATTTTTCGCTCCATAAGACGCACCTGACCATAAGACGCACCTAGGTTTTAGAGGCGAAAAACAAGAAAAAAAAAATATTCTGAACCAATGGACTGCAGACATAGTACAGGGGATGACCAGAGACTGCGGACATAGTACAGGAGATGACCAGAGACTGCGGACATAGTACAGGAGATGACCAGAGACTGCGGACATAGTACAGGGGATGACCAGAGACTGCAGGCATAGTACAGATGACCAGAGACTGCGGAGATAGTACAGGAGATGACCTACAGGAGATGATCAGAGACTGTGGACATAGTACAGGAGATGATCAGAGACTGCGGACATAGTACAGGAGATGACCAGAGACTGCGGACACAGTACAGGAGATGACCAGAGACTGCGGACACAGTACAGGAGATGACCAGAGACTGCAGACACAGTACAGGAGATGACCAGAGACTGCGGACACAGTACAGGAGATGACCAGAGACTTCGGACACGGTACAGGAGATGACCAGAGACTGCGGACACGGTACAGGAGATGACCAGAGACTGCAGACACAGTACAGGAGATGACCAGAGACTGCGGACATAGTACAGGGAAAATACCAGGGACACAGTACAGATGACCAGAGACTGCAGACAGTGCAGGGGATGACCAGAGACTGCTGACCTTTGGGGAGGGAGGGGAAGCGGGTACCTGAATTTGACAGGTACCCGCTCCCACTTCCGCGGAGTTGTCCTTCCCTCTTCTTCCTGCGCCGGCTTCTGTGACAGCCGGGTGCCCACTGCGCATGCGTGAGAAGTGCTGCGCTTTGTGAATGGCCCGGCACCTTCTGGGAGCTGTCATGTGTCCCAGAATACACCGGACCATTCACAAAGCGCAGCGCAGCACATGCACAGTGGGCACCCGGCTGTCACAGAAGCCAGCGCGGGAAGACTGTGCAGCGCTGGAGCGAGGAATAGGTAAGGCCCTGCAGGAGAGAACAGCTGAGCGGCCGGCCCGGTATTCTGACTTGGTGGCTGCAGAAATACCGGACCGGCCGCTTTATATTCGCTCCATAAGACGCACTGACATTTTCCCAACTTTTTTTTTGGCGGCGGAAAAAAGTGCATCTTATGGAGCAAAAATTATGGTACCTGTTTGCAAAATTTTAAAATAGAAACAAAGAAAAACTTGTTTGTTTTTTTTAATTTTTTGCTGTTTTTTGGTTTATAGTGTAAAAAATAAAATACTCAGCAGCGATTAAATACCACCAAAAGAAAGCTCTATTTATGTGAAAAAAATTATAAAAATATCATATGGGTAGTGTTGCATGACCGTACAATTGTCATTCAAAGTGCAACAGCGCTGAAAGCTGAAAATTGGCCTGGGCAGGAAGGTGTATACGTGCCCATTAGGCAAGTGGTTAAGAGTGGTCAACCAGCACTTGTATAGCAATCCAAGATATCCAGCTTTCCTCAAAACCACATGATGGTACTGCTGTGTTCTATCAGATCACTGTGCATATACACCCAGTTGGACACAGTATCATGAAAAAGAAAAAGACAGGCTCTCCATAGTGCAACCCTGATTAAAACACCAATTTAATGTTGTAAATGTACTTACAATGAAAAGATGACAATCAGGCACTTCATGTCATATGAACAATTCGTATTCCAAAATCCAAGATGGCTGCAGCGGGATTACATATGCGTAGTGGCGTGTGTTCCATCTCTGCCCTACTAGTTTCGTCAAAGATGACGTCATCAGGAGCAATCGTCATCTTTGACTCTTAATTGGGGTCATATGATTCTGGTAAGCCTCCCTTTGTTGTACACCGAGGTGCTGTGTGGTTCATCATTAAGAAGTTTTGGTGTCGTTTGACATCCACATCTGTCATTTCCCTCATAATCGAAGAACCCCTGTATTCACAGTTTTGTGCTTCACATTTGGATTCCTTTATTCTTTCTTTTAATTTGTGGTGACACATAAGAGTTTGATATATTTGCATTGCACTATTGTATTGCACATAAATTTTAATTTAATTTAGCGCTGTACTATTGTTTTGTAAAGAATAATCATTGCAAATATTATCATAAAATACATGATTTAGGCATCATTCCCACAGGTGTACTAAACCCCTTCCCACTGAGCGTACACATATACTGTATGCAGCCCCACTGGACTTGGCGTTTTTCCATGGAGCTGCATATTTGGGCGGCACAGTGGCTTAGTGGTTAGCATGTCTGCCTTGCAGTAAATGGGTCATGAACTATGAATGGGGTATGTAGCGCTAGAGAACAGATAATAAACACGGGACTGTTTATGATATGAAGTACCAATACAGCAGTTCATATAATAGTTCATATATTCCAGCCTGAAAAAATGGAAATGATCCAATGATGTTCCAGATCACAAACGATGAAATAAGAGAAATTAGTGAGGTTGTGCGCTTACCACAAATACACACAATATGAGCATTGTATGTAATTAACAGCAACCGGGCATCATGGTCTGGTCAACAGCCTGGGCACCATCTGGTCATATATGGACATCCGGGTCACAGGTACAACGCTATCCAGGCCCCTTCTGGCTTTCAAATCCAAAACGCCACCTTGCATAAGCTCATTACAAACGAGCCGGGAGGCAAGAAAGCGCTAATAGTAAAGTACATTTATTTAAGAACACAAGAAAAAAAACAAGCAACCAGGACTCACATTGATATAATATAAATCCAGGCCCACATAGATCAGCTCCCTGATGGTCAGTGGTTCACTCAACATGCAGCGCATACAGATCAAAGTCCAATAGATAGGACCCTGGTGGCCAGTGGTATCACAAATACAAAGCCATAGAGTATAGTGAGTATTATTAGAAATATACTCATCCAGGTCAGGTGAGGTAGTTCCCTGGTGGCTAGTGGATCCCTAGTAGCAAAGGCGTCAATAGGGTGGATCCCCTAACATGTTTCGAGCTAAAACTCGTTTTCAAAGGGGAAAATGGGTCATGGGTTCAATTCCCAACCATGGTGCCTCCTGCATGGAGTTTGCATGTTCTCCCTGTGCTTGCGTGGGTTTCCTCCAGGTGCTCTGGTTTCCCCCCACACTCCAAAGACATGCTGGTAGGTTAATTGGATCCTGTCTAAATTGTTCCTAGTATGTGTATGTATGAATGTAAGTTAGGGACCTTAGATTGTACACCCCTTGAGGGTTGGGGACTGATGTGAATGTACAATATATATATGTGTAAAGCACTGTGTAAATTGACAGTGCTATATAGGTACCTGAAATAAATAAATCTGTCTTTGTGCTGGAAGTGACCCACACAGGGTCTCACCGGGAGCCCTGAGTCCTGTACTAACAATTGAGATCCAGAATTCCCAGTTTTGGGTTACTTGATCACTGTGATAGCCTCTGATTGGTTATCACAGTGATCAGTCACTGTAAAGCCCACATTTTTTTTACTATTTTGGGCCAGTTTACCTTTGAAATTAGATAAAAAGCAGGAGATATCCATTACCGTTTACTACCAAATGAAAGCTCAATTTGTCTTGAAAAAACTAGGTATAATCCACCTTGATGCACAAAGTACAGTAGTTGTGATGTCAGTTTTACTAACACATGTCAAAGTTTCAAAATTGTGCTTAGGCATTAACATTTGTTTTACCCTTAGGCAAGAAGGGGTTAAAGTGATTGTAAACTTCAGACATGATATATGAACAAAGAATATTCCTCTATAGTGTGTACTTGTCTCAGTCCAGAGCACTAAGTATAATTTCTGTCTGCTGCCTCATTCCTCTGCTAAAAGCATGAGTCACTTCTGAAGAGTTGTCCTGACATCAAGAGAAAAATGGTGACAGGGGAGGGGCCTCCAGCAGATTGACAGCTTCAGCTCTGTTCCTGTGTGCTGTGTGGAGGGGAATGTTTCTCTTACCTCCAATCAATTCTCAGCACTGATGTAACCAGCTCCCCGGCCCTTACTTTTCAGAGCTGAGAGATCCTCTGTAAATTCTGCACTTTAAGCATAGGAATATCTATCTATCTATCTATCTATCTATCTATCTATCTATCTATCTATCTATATTTATTTATTTTTTATTTGTTCATTCCCTTTCAGGGGTAGCTGTGTGTTTTTATCAAACCTGTATTCTCTCCCTGCAGAAATATCAGGCCAAGGCCAGATGGTCATGCCTTCCATGGACATTGATCTTTGTGCTACTTGAGCTCAGGGCTGAAAAGTGACAGTCTACTCAGGCTGTTCAAATGTCTTCAGTTTTTATTCATGTAATCCTAACACCTCTTTCCTTATATGACAGTTTCTGGGGTCTTTTATCTACACTGAACATAAAGTACATGTAAAGGAAATAGAAGGTATAGAAAAGGGAAGGGTTAGCCCCTTTGCAAGTTTTAATTGCCATCTGCCTGCCCATTGGGGAGATCTACCCCTCTGTTTCTCCTGAAGAACATTGTCACCAAGACAGAAGATGAGGGGAAACCAAACATTTTAGAGTTGTCATCAGATCAAGAGGCATGAGAAGGTCATTGAATGGGGCCACCTGTTCCTGTGAGAAATCTATAAGATGGGAATTCTCTTCACTTTGGAGAGATTTCCTCTGTTGTGTCTCTAGGACCCAAATCTAAGGGATCTCACTGCAGCAGGGTACAGAAAGGAAAAAAAATAAATTGATGGGGTATTTTAACCCTTGTCTAGTCCAGCTACGGCTAAAAAATTTTTCTTTTCCTCTTTAATGTAGAAATGTGGCCATTCTATAAAATTCAAATATTTACATATTCTTAAAGTGTTTGTAAAGATATTTTTTTCACTAAAATAGCAAACATATTATACGTACCTGCAATGGTTTTGCATAGAGCAGCCCTGATCCTCCTCTTCCCTGGTCCCCCACTGGTGCTCCTGGCTCCGCCTCTTCATCCAGTGCCCCAAAGGAAGCCCTTTCTTATGGAGAAACTTGTGCAGGCTCACTACTGTGCCCCACTGCCTACGTCCATAGACACAGACAGAAGGGCATAACCCCACCCACCACTCCCTTGTCAGAGTTTGATTGACAGCAGAGGGATTAATATGCAGTTAAAATGTTTCAATTATATAATTTTGTTTTCAATAAATACCTCCTCAGTGATGTTTCTAGGGTTGTCTGCTGTTTTTTATTTTTTTGCTCTATGTGTGGTGGAAGGAGCCAACAGGCTCCTGTAAATATCACAGTATTCTGCCTCAGATCTTCTTTCTTATATGAAAGAACACATCCCTGGGATTCTTTTAAACATGCATGCTGGCCATTAACTGTTGCAGATTTGAACTGTGCAATCTGCTGATCAGTTGCTTGAGCATGCACATCCAAAGGAATGCTGGGGATGTGTTCTTTTAAACATAATGCTTAGGAACAAAATATTTGATAGCAGAAAAAGATAATAGCTTTGAGAGGTGGGAAACATCAGGAGAAGAGATTGATTGATGATTGAAGTTATGCAAACAGGAAAGGAGGGCAAGCTTAAGATATAGTAGCTG